TTGGTAGAGCATTGGCCTTAAGCCCAGAAGGTCGTGGGTTCAATTCCCACCTCTGCACCTTCTCCACCGACTCCCACTGATGACTGCTGTCGTTGTGTCCTTGGGCAAGACACTTAACCCCACTTTGCCCAAAGCCCCCACTGAAAGATCAAGGCTATGCTCACACTCAGAGAGCAGCCGTCCTCCTGTGGACTCACCACCTGCAGAGGGTCAGTGAGGGGCTGGTGCTATGAGACTTGGGTGGCATCTCTGATTGCCACCCCCCTGACCCAGAAATGGATTAAAGGGTAGAAAATGGATGGATGGATGCTTGCACAGTGCTCCTTGAGATGTTTAAAGCTTTGGAAATCTTTTTGCATCCAAATCCGGCTTTAAACTTCTCCACAACAGTATCTCGGACCTGCCTGGTGTGTTCCTTTGTCTTCATGGTTCTCTCTGTGCTTTAAACAGAACCCTGAGACTATCAAAGAGCAGGTGCATTTATACGGAGACTTGATTACACACAGGTGCATTCTATTTATCATCATCAGTCATTTAGGACAACATTGGATCATTCAAAGATCCTCACTGAACTTCTGGACTGAGTTTGCTGCACTGAAAGTAAAGGGGCCCAATAATATTGCACGCCCCACTTTTCAGTTTTTTATTTGTTAAAAAAGTTTAAATTATCCAATACATTTCATTCCACTTCACGATTGTGTCCCACTTGTTGTTGATTCATGACAAAAAATTAAAATGTTATATCTTTATGTTTGAAGCCTGAAATGTGGCGAAATGTTGAAAGGTTCAAGGGGGCCGGATACTTTCGCAAGGCACTGTATAATTGGTAAAACTTGAATGAATGTAATATATTACATGTTGAATACATTTTAAAAATAAAAGTATCCTAAATATATGGAATACAGTTACTATTTTTTCTAAAGTAACGAAATACTATACAAAATACATTTTAGGTCACGTATTCAGTATTCTGGAACTAAATACCTTTTCTAAATACCATAATAGGGACACCAACACCAACATCCAGGGTCCTCCTCCCCTGACTCAGGGTTAGGCTGCTGGCCTTGATTCTAAGTCCACAGCAGGCATCCTCAGCGCCTGGAACTACATCCTCTCAGAAGGGAAAGCTTGGATCAAGGGCTGACTTCCAACACTCCTTTTCAGTCAGATATTGTGTAATTATTGTTTTTAGTTATTAGTTCACTTAATTAAATCACTTAAATCTTTCAGGAAATTATGTAAGTATCAAATCATATTACATTTTATCTTATCGTTGGCAGAATATCGTCATATATATCATATTATGAGCTGAATATTGACTAGATAATGAATGTTTTTTTTTTGTTATTAAAAAAACCACTTACCGTTCAGGTTCATCCCAAAGTTTGACCCTCATTAACAGCATGGAATGGACCGTGCTGGAGGTAAAGTGAGGCATTCTCGCTCGGCAGAGGACGTCATACAGACAGGTAATAACTGCAACATATGAAGCTCATTTACGAGAGCCTCAAGACGGTCTCAACCCGCTGAGTCCACAACAGGGATTTGGGTCAAGTTCAGCATTAGACGGAAGGATCATGGGATGCAGGTTTTCACCTGATAAGTGAAAAATCTCTTCTAAAAGGAACGCAGAAAAACTAATCCACACTATGGAGGACCAAAACTGTCAAAATTCTAAATAAATAAATAAATGTCACATTCTGCCAATAATTATTAAGATAACACAACAAATCATGAGATTTAATAAATATACATTATTATTATACGTTTTTAGGTTCCAAACAAAATAATAAAGCATTATTATTTTCCTGTTCTTTCAAAGGTTAAGATTATCCATCCATCCATCCATCCATTTTCTTTCGCTTCATCCATTGCCGGGTCGCGGGGGCAGCAGTCTAAGCAGAGACGCCCAGACTTCCCTATCCACACACACTTCCTCCAGCTCGTCTGGGCGGACGCCAAGGCGTTCCCAGGCCAGCTGAGAGACATAGTCCCTCCAGCGTGTCCTAGGTCTTCCGCGGGGTCTCCTCCCGGTGGGACGTGCCCGGAACACCTCCCCAGGGAGGCGTCCAGGAGGCATCCGGAACAGATGCCCGAGCCACCTCAACTGGTTCCTCTCGACGTGGAGAAGCAGCGGCTCTACTCCGAGCTCCTCCCGTGTGACTGAGCTCCTCACCCTATCTCTAAGGGAGCGCCCAGCCACTCTGCGGAGGAAGCTCATTTCGACCGCTTGTATCCGCGATCTCGTTCTTTCGGTCATTACCCAAAGCTCATGACCATAGGTGAGGGAGGGAACGAAGATTGACCGGTAAATCGAGAGCTTTGCCTTTCGGCTCAGCTCCCTCTTTACCACAACGGTCCGATACAGCTCTGACTGCAGACGCTGCTCCCTCTTTACCACAACGGTCCGATACAGCTCTGACTGCAGACGCTGCTCCCTCTTTACCACAACGGTCCGATACAGCTCTGACTGCAGACGCTGCTCCCTCTTTACCACAACGGTCCGATACAGCGACCGCATAACTGCGCACGCTGCACCGATCCGCCTGTCAATCTCACGCTCCATTCTCCCCTCACTCGTGAACAAGACCCCGAGATACTTGAACTCCTCCACTTGAGGAAGGACCTCTCCACCCACCTGAAGAGGGCAAGGCACCTTTTTCCGGTCGAGCACCATGGCCTCGGATTTGGAGGTGCTGATTCTCATCCCAGCCGCTTCACACTCGGCTGCAAACCGTCCCAGTGCATGCTGCAGGTCCTGGTTCGTTGGAGCCAACAGGACAACATTGTCCGCAAACAGCAGAGATGAAATCCTGTGGTCCCCGAACCGGACCCCCTCCGACCCCTGGCTGCGCCTAGATATTCTGTCCATAAATACAGTGAACAGAACCGGTGACAAAGGGCAGCCCTGTCGGAGGCCAACATTCACCGGGAACAGGTCTGACTTACTGCCGGCAATGCGAACACAGCTCTGGCTCTGGTCATACAGGGATAGGATGGCCCTCAGCAGAGGACCTCCGACCCCGTACTCCCGGAGAACCCCCCAAAGGACACCCCGGGGAACACAGTCGAACGCCTTCTCCAAATCCACAAAGCACATGTGGACAGGTTGGGCGAACTCCCATGAACCCTCGAGTATCCGATGGAGAGTATAGAGCTGGTCCAGTGTTCCGCGACCGGGACGAAAACCACACTGCTCCTCCTGAGCTGTTGTGTGTGCGGACTGGGTCGTCGAGGTCTCCGCCTTCGACCGCTGCCCAGTCCTCTCTGCACCGCTTCGCCACCACGGACCCCTCTGCGGGTGGTGGGCCCACAGGAGGGACTGCCCACGTCATCCCTTCGGGCTGAGCCCGGCCGGGCCCCGTGGGCTAAGGCCCGGCCACCAGGCGCTCGCCTACGAGCCCCGACCCCAGGCCTGGCTCCAGGGTGGGGCCCCGGCTGCGCCATGCCGGGCGACGTCACTGATTTCGTATGAGTGCTGTCCATGGTGTCTTCTGGACACCTCCTGGAGGTGTCCAGAACTCCCCCCTGGACTGCCACCTTAACGTGGTGGGGGAGTTTGAGTACTCGGATGATCCTGGGAGCTATGCTGTCTGGGGCTTCATGCCCCTGGTAGGGCCTCCCATGGCAGACAGGTCTCAGGTGACGAGTCAGACAAAGAGCAGTCCAGAAGACACCAGGTTAAGATTAAAATAAATATATTTTTATTATTTAACTGCAGTTTTGTGCACAAATAAATAATAAAATCTAATATTTATCTTTCCGCATGTATTTCTTTTCTTCATATTTTACTTTTATTGATGTTTTAGTTTGTGTAAGCTCTCAGTCGTACAGGGATTAGTCAAAGCAAAGGAAGGTTTCTCACCCATCATCTGTACTTCTTAGCAAGTTTTCCCGACGTTCCGTCCTCAAACTAGCGGACTTCTTCAGGGAATGAATTCTTGGACCGCGCGTTGGAGATTTATAACCTATGGGTGTGGTTAGCCACACCCTAATCCTGATACTAACTCATAAACAATCTAAGGTCTGATGTAGAAGGGAGCAGATCTAACGACCCTGCTGAGGCTAACGACCCTAACTCATTAGCCTGTCACAGACCTATTGTCTGCTGGGATGCTCAAGTGGAGTGCAGGTCTCACCCCTCCTAACTCATTAGCATGTCACTGACCCTGTCCCAAGTTAGGGCGTTGTTTTTAGGATGTCGTCATAGATGCGAGGCAAAACAAATCTTAACCCTCCTCCTCTGTTAAGAGAAGGTTTCTGGTTCCTCACAAAAATGGCTTCTCTCACCCCTCTCTCAAACCAATTCTTCTCCTCTTCACTACATTTAATTGAATACACCACATTGCTCTGTTTGTGTTTGGGTGTTTTGTCTTTGGGATGCACTAATTTCTGTCTTAACGTGTTGAAAGGTTTGAAATACACAGGGATTTTGTGTTGCCTAAAGATTCTTTGTAGTTTCTCTGAAACTCCCGCCACATACGGTAAGGACACCCCTCTCCTCCTACTTTCTTCTGTCTGTTGGACACAGAACATTTTATTGATGTTCTGTTTTATTATTTCACAACACCTTCTTTTCTCGTCTCTTGCAATAAAATGCAAATGAAGGGGCGGACTTGTTATAATGATTGGCTAATCCAGAAAGACTTCTCAATTTGATTATACCTGCCTTGATGCTATCATGGCGGCGTTGGATCTCCGAAGACGACTTGTCAACGAGTTGCAACATTTGTCTGATAATTTAGGAAATTATTCTGCTGATTATGCTCTGTTTCACATAAATGTACTTTTTTTAACGTAGAGTTATCCGAAAATCTTGATGTGAACCCAGTAGTATTTGAAAACGTCCACGAATCAAGACAAATACAACAACTCCACGTTGAGCGGACGACCATCATTTGAGCTGTCAGTCAAAGCAATAAAAAGCAGTGTTTTAGCTGGTGCAACTGTTCGGGAGATCTCTCACCTGCTGAGTTAGTGAAAGTACTGTACACCGCCGGATGGCTGAGCAGAATATAAGGTAATTGTCATTATGTATTTGAAAGGTAGTAAAGTAACTGGATTACTAATTAATGAGTTCAAGTAACTGGACCAACACTGCTTATATGTAACCGTCGGTTGTGTCACTATAATGTTTTTATTTGGCACATTTAAACATATATTATTTCTTCATAGATTATCTGACTTGCCTGATGCCATTACCGATGATGATCTGGATGTCAAGGTCTGTGCTATTTTGAGGCATCTCCCAAACTAGATCACAGGTACTGTGGGTTTTTCATAAACCATGGTATAATATTCCATTTTTTTTACAGATGGCGTCTTGTGGTCCATGGTGGTATAGATGGATACAGTCGCTTGATTGTGTACCTCTCTGCTGCCACAAATAATCGTGCATCAACAGTGTTGTAATCTTTTTTGGAAGCAGTTCGGTCTTATGGAACACCATCCCGTGTGAGATCCGACAAAGGACTTGAAAATGTAGATGTTGCCAGCTACATGATGGTACAGAGAGGACACAATCGGAATTCCCACATAACTGGAACAAGTGTCCACAATCAAAGGTATTTGGGTCCTTTGCAGAATCACATAGAAGCAAATTAAAGCATTTTATCATTGTCCAAATCCAAATATTTTTTATGCACTTTTCTATGGTTTTGAAACCATGTCTTTTGGTGAAACTTATTTTGAGATGCTTTGTACATGTATTTTCTTGCAGAATAGAGCGGTTATGGCGTGATGTCTTTGGGGGGGTGTTAGACCTTTTCTATTCCTGTTTTTGTAATATGGAAAATGAAGGTCTGCTCAACCCCCATGATGAGATCCACCTCTATGCCCTCCATTGGAGCTTTCTACCACACATCCAGAGACATCTGCATTTCTTTAAGGAAGGATGGAACAACCACAAACTGAGCACATCAGTCACCTCTTCAGCTGTGGTCCCTAAACCCTCGTCATATGGGAGATCCTACCCAGGTAATCTCCTTCATTACTCAACATTTTCCAAACAAGGGATTAACATTAAAAAAAGTAGTTAACAACTGATTAACAACCATTACCATGTTCATAGAACTTTGATTTTAGTATTCTTTTTTTTCCAGGTGGACACAGAATATGGTATTGACTGGGAGGATCTTTCTGGATACCACATAGAGGCACAGATTTCACAAGAGTTGACTGCTGATGAGATTCTGCACTTACCAAATCCTAATGGATGCTAAATGTGTACAGTTCAACAGTTGATTACATTTCCCAGATAATTGGATAAAATAAAGATTGTCTGGGCTAATTTGTTTTTGAATAAAATTATTGAGGTATGAACTTAACACAATAACAATTAGTAACAGTGCTTATAGTGAAACATGAAATGAACAAGAAGCACATTATACTATTAAAAACACACTCAACACTCAGAACTGGCCAAAGCCAGCATCTGAAGAAGAAAGACTTGCATGCAAAGCATGTATTTTGAACTTCAAAGTTCAAAATACTTGATGACAGCTTCAAAATGTAAAAGCATGTGGATGCCTGAGGCAGACTAATGTCCTCCACTTCCACAAAAAGGGATTTAGGAATGACATGCCACCCTGTCCAGAAGCAGAGAAGGGACTTCAACTCCACAGAAGATCCTAAGATAAATAATCCTGTTAATTGAATCAATAATAAAAAGGAAACTTACTTGTCTGAATGAAATGTTTCAGAAAATTAATTTATCTGCTCCTTTCGACTGAACTTCCTCCCTCTGTTGGCCACGCAATTTTTTCCAACACCATCTGAAATACATGTAAAAACATTTAACAAGAGAAAATGGTTCAATCAAAACGTAAAGATTAAAATAAATGATGGTTTGGATTTACATTTTATTTAAAGATAGTAATTATACCTAAAATGAAAATCATCTACCTGTGAAGTCATTATAACTTGAGCTCTTGGGAAAAAGATGCTAACAGCCTCTGGCCGTGAACTCAACAACTCCCAAACACCTGTGTCCTTTAGACCTTTCTTTAGCTGTGAAACTTGTCCTGCGATCCTCCCAAGAACCTTGACGTTTAAAATAATGTATACAAATAAAACCAGCTCAGTGATTTAAATGTAATGAGTATTATAAAATATGTATGTGTAAAAGGGTGTCTATGGATTACAAATAAATTCAGATATTAAAGTACAGAATTAACACGTAGCCATATAGTGTTGAAGGGGGGCACTTGGTTGATTTCACCTGTCTGCCATGGTGAAACAATGCCATTCCTAACGTTACAACTAACTGCATGCATGAGAATTTTCTCCTTAAGCCAACGCCTGTTTTCTTCAGTAACCCTTGGCAGATCCCAGGGAATGCATACAGCATGGATCTTGCAGTCTCCTGTAGGACATCATTTCCTTCCAACTGAAATAAATATAAATCCATATTTCGCATAAGGAATGCAAAACCACTAGATTTACTTTGCTGTAATACTTATAACATACCAAAGTAATAACTTCTTGAATATCTGTATCGACGCAATCCTCCAATTCTATAGTTGCCATTTCTGGCTCTCCACCCAGGAGCATATGGATGACTGGTGGGCTTAATCCGCAAACCGTGGGCCGTCATTCAAAAAACAATGGCCCATGATGCGCCCAGCAACAATAAAAAGGTTGCTTTCAATAAAGATTTGCGTGGTTGATGGTACTAAATGATCCTTTTGTCCTTCAAATAGTAGGATCTTGGGCTCTTGGAAAAGAAATACACAAGGAAAGTTAATTTAAAAAAAAGCTCAATGTGAAATTTTTATATGATATGGACTTATGTCATGCAAAGTGTCATGTCAAGCCTTTGTTTAAATGTAGACCCTAAAAGTCATGAGGCTATATTCTCAGCTCAAAATGTCACCAGATGGGCATCTGGACATATCCAGAGGGGTCTGTCTGGTACAGAGGAGTTCACCATTAAAAAAGGTGCACAAGCAACATTGTAGTTTTTTACATTCATAATACATTTCATAATACAGTAAGGTTTTAACTAAATCATTGTATTTTTGTGATTGTAACACTGTCTATGTATACAGCAATATCCTACCTGTTTCATTCAAATGAAAGCCATTTTGGAGGTGGTCCATAACTGTTAAAGAACATGCCTGTTCACTCCCTCTCCAAATGCAGAGTCACCTATGTGGCAGAAAAATGTTTTTAAGGTTGTTTATAATATTGAAACAATGAGATACACCCATACCTATTAGTTGACACCGAAATTCACAGGCCCATTCTTGTGATCTCTTGTAAAAATTCAGTTTGGCTCTATCCCTCTCATGCACAGACTCATGGGAGAGATTGAGAGACTTTCATGACTATGAGCCTCACGCCGTGACCATGTAGACAGTGAGGCGGCAATGGAGGCTTTCACCTCCTGTTGCCCAGACTAAACAAGTGAAAACGTTTATAATGTATAAATACAAATAATTACATTATATTTTATATATTTTTTGGCACAAAACATACATGGTAATTCTTCTCCTGAAACTTCTGAAGCTAAAAGCAAAGTAAAATGTTTTTGTTATATACCTTCCAGAGTACATATATATGTTATAGCAGTACTAACCCAGGGGTGGCTCAGTGGACGCTTCAGGGATTTGTGCACCCTCTTCACTTTGAAGACCACTGTCCTCTGAGCTCTCCTCAGTGCTCTGTGTTGGTCTGAAAAAGAAAGAAACAAACTTTAATGTAGCAATCCATGCTAGCAATTCTCTTTACCCAGTGAACTCAGAGGAGCTGTTGATACCAAAGAGAAACACATACAGGCATTTCTTATGTGAACGCTGTTCTAATTGTTGGAATCATGTGCATGTGATAAAACAAACTCCTATAACCTGTGTAGTAGTAGGCCCTGCGTGCCCGGTGGCAGCCTATTGCGTGCAGTCTCCTCCCTTTAAAAGGAGGATGGATCACCTGCACCATCTCTTTGCCTGCCTCTGACGTCACCGCTGTCCCAGGAGCAGTGAGCTGCACAGCGTGGAGTCAGGCTCCACAGCTTGGACAAACACAGTTGCCGGCCCTAAAGCTGGCATTTGCGCTTCATATTGAGCTCACAACTAGTAAGTACAGTGCCATTCCCCTTCGATTGTCTCCTTATCCATCCTGCTTTATATAAAATACTTTACGCTCCCCGCAGCGCTCTGTGCGTGGCGTCTTGCGGCCCAGTTGCGGTGCAGGGTCAACTGAGGACACCTCCCGCATGTTTGATGTGCGTGCAGTCACATACCATTACGGTAAGCTGGTGTGTGCCGCGTATCCGCCCATTAACATTACTTTCCAAACTTGGTGCTAACTAAGCGCTCTTTATAAGGTGGGGCACCCGGTTCTACGCGCCTCCTGCGCTGGGTCTCTAGGTGAGCGCTTCACGCAGAGGATTCATGGTGCGTATTTTCCCGGCTCCTGAGCTGCTACGTGGGGTTTTACCTGTACTGTAAATTCTAAATTGTCACTTCTTTTAGGTCCAGTCTTCTCGAGCCTCTCCTTTCCTCTCCTCCTGAGTTGCCTTGGCTCATGTTTTCCTGGTGTCCATACAGTGTGGTCCATTTAGTGGCCATCAGTTAAAGGAGGTGCCTGTAACTTTTGAAATAGCTGCTGTGAGTTTGCACAAAAGCACATGTAAGCACCAATGCACTTTAAAACAAGTTAATCTGGGGTCATTGTGTTTGTTTTGTGTACTGTGCACTGCATTTTAAAAACTATTTTAATTATGAACTTAAGTGAATGTTGATATCAAATAAATATTGTAAACCTTTTTCTAATTTTGTCTCTGTCCCTCAGTTACTTACCTGTGTTAGCCGTAATCCTTTATTTTTTATTTTCCCTTCGGGGTGGCGTTGTTGGCAACAAACCAGTATTTAAAATTATCCACCCGTATATCACAGCCCTCGCACCACACCTGCATTGTACAATCAATTTTCAATGATTACGTTCTTTAATGCTATTAAAAACCACAGCGCATAAGCAGAGGAACGACTAGAATGTTCAAAAAATTGAATAGGGGCAGGGATGCTCACTCAAGCATTAACCAGCCTTAGGTAATTGTTGAGCACCTGGGTGTATTAAAACCAGTTTTAAAGTATGTAATACTTACCCAGAACAACTTTCACTGTGGCGTTTCATTATGCTGAATAAAACACCTTTGCCACAGGAAATACATGTGATCTCAGGTCCCACTGGAGGTTCTTCTTTTTGTGCCTTAATATCATAATCTATACATATATTGTAGCAATTGGTAAATAAATAAAATATCACAGAAAAATGCCTACTCACTACATTATCCAAAGACAAATGTTGCTGTAGTGGTCTGATGTAAACCGTGGCATCGTGGACACCACTCACTGGGCCTCTGGTGTATCCAATGGTGCAGCCCTCGTTAGGGCAAGGCTAAAGAGTGAGGCTACGGCTTCTTGTAGATCCTGACATTTTTAGGAGCTCAAATCCTCCATCAACTAACTTTGGGAAAGCTGAATGTAGGAAGGCTGAAAATTCCTCAGAGCTATCTTTGTTTCCTAAGAAAACAAATCATAAGTAAAAGATTAATTGGAAGGCACAAAACATTTTCACCTAATTTGAATTGTATCAAAGTAATCTATGATTGTTGAAGCACTGTGCAACATAAAACAAGCTTTGAGACAGTGTTCTTAGACAAGAAGTCTAAGAAGAGTTGACTTATCATAATCCAAATGAGCATTCATCTGAAAACGCTCTGTCAGTACTTTAGTTTGCACTGAAGTAGAAATTGTGTTAAACACACAAAAGTATAAAATGTTTCAGATTGCCGAGACAATACTCATTTTCAAGTATCATCATATTCTTTGTGTTCTTCTGTGTGTGTGTGTGTGTGCGTGCGCACGTGTGTCTCTGTATGTCACTGATGCGCATGAGTGTCTGTCTCTGTGTGCGTGATATGGAGCAGTCCTGTACCTAATTATAGAACATCTTTTTCATATAAATACAATTACAAATGTCTCACTTTAAAAAAATACTTTGTTTCATGAAGTCATCTGTGGTCATATGATCAATATTGCGTGTGACATGGAACAAGTTTGCTGCGTCGATTTGCATACTGTCCATGGATGTCCCATTTCTTAGGGAGAATATCCTTTTAGTTTAGTTTATTTAGTTAAAAGGGACCATGTACAATTAAAACATAAATGTTTCCATTTGATGCATTGTACCAGAGTTAGCCTCAGGCTAATTTACAATTTTACAATTTTATGGTGAGGGCACTCACAACTCACGTGCCCTCAGAATTGGGATGGGCCCAAAATGTGCATGCATTTTAAAGGCTACTTAATTGGAAACTCAGACTACAAAAACTCTTGGGTAAATGAAATGTAATTACGATTAATTGAGAAGTGAAACAATAACTTAATAACCAAGGACTTACCACGGAAATAGAGTCTTTTTTCACCAAGTCCAGCTTGCTCTAGTCTATCCTTTTCTTGTTTATTTGGAACAAGTGAAGTTTGCTTTGAACACAGACAGCAAAACGTATGTGTGTATGTGGACGGCAGAGGAGGTCGTGGGGGGTTCCGTCTTGCACCAATCCTGGAGAATACAGTCGTGACGCTTCAGCTGAAAAACAATCAAGTCAAAACAGTAGTTTTTTGGACAGACATTTTGTGTAAGATAAAAAACGTTTTTGGAAACTAATAACTATACAATATTGTGGTGCAGTAAAATAGGACACATATTTAAATAGTTTTAAGTCAACCCAATTCCCAGTGAAATACGGGCCGTATGCAACAGTAGATTACAATAAAGCTGTTAAATGTCATGTTCAACTGGAGGCGGTAATGCAGGTGACAAGAGTGTTGAATGTCTAACTCAAGTAGAAATGAATTTAGAAATATTTTGGTCTTTTACACACAATCTACAGGATGGACCAGGTGTCTCCTTTGAACTGTGCTGGTCTGTGCTGCTGTTGAAACAAAACAAAATGTTGGATAACCAGAAGAGATCACAACCCTAGTGTATAGAAGGATCTTTGGTTACACCCCTCGCTGTGTGGCAGAAAGACGGTCCATACTGAAGCATGGATTCAGGACTACTTTTAACAGACTCAGTGGGCGAATAGCACTGTATATAAGCACTTTAACGCAAGAAGATCAGAGGAGGTATAAAGACAAGCTAAAAATAAGTATATGAGACCGAACTGAACAAATCCAAAGCCCGTATGAGACCTGGGATGACGAGAGAAACATTGGCCAGACTCCTCTGTTTTGGCACCGATCTGCTGGGACTCAGAGACATTTATTCGTACCTCATAGAAAACCCAGGACCCTTCACTCAAGAAAGGTCCGTGGTGTTTAACCACGGTAAAACAGATCGGAATTTTGCCACACATTAAAAGCGGGCTGCCCCTTTTTGCTGTTACTTACGGTAAAGGTGGAACAGGAAGCCGCGGGGATGAGCAACCAAAATCCTCCCAGATTCCTGTTCTACGTTTACCGTAGGTAACAGCATAAAAAGGCAACCACTTTACCGCGGCCGTTTTTCGCTGTTCTTTTCCGAAATAATTAGAAGAAAAAAAATAATCTGTCTCCAGCGGGCCGTGAAACAGACCACACAACAGAAACAGACCATTTGATTTAGTAAAACCTCTCTACAAACGTTTAAAAATAGCTAACTCTGTAGCATCCAGGTAGCTTCCAATGCTATTGTGCCACACAGACACGTGACCGGTGCTGAAAAACTATAAACAACGACGTCACTCCTTTACTGCATTGCGTGGCCTGCCGCGCACCCACAAAAATGTCTAACTACACAGCCAGGGCCGCAGTGAAGCTCCGCTGTGATTGGTCCGTGTGCAATTACTTCCTGGGAAGCATGGAGCGGCTGCAGGGAACATGGACGACGCACTTGAGCAGATAGATTCACGCTTCGAAGGAACCGAGGTACAAACGGCAGAGCCTGATATACGCAGAGACTGTGGACTAGAGCTCTGTGACATATCCAACATATAGATAACTTATAAACTGTGGAATCATTTCTTTTGCACTGTTCCTGTCTTTGTTTGAATCTGTACTTGTAGCTTATCGTGTCTGTTGCATTCCTCCTGCACTTGTCAATAGTTTATTTTTGTCTCTTATATTTCCCACTTATTGTTTTGCTGTTTGTGCTGAATACACTTTAATAATAACTATGTATCCAACAAGAACTGTCTTTATTCACACGGTTGAAATAATGAGTCAATATTACATAAACCTACACCAGATAAAAATATAATGAGCTCAAACAGCTTGGTTGGCTAAAGTTTATGTTTATGAAGAGGAGAAAGTAGCAGCGTAAATGGGACCGCTTTGGTTTCCCAAGTAACTCCCGTGAGAGCGCCATCATGTGGTTGATTGTGGGATTACAACATTCTCTTCAAAACTCTGTGAGGGGAACGTGCGAGTGTACGAGCCACTGTGGCTGCTAGGTACAACTTCCATGTAAATATCACTTTTGGTTTAATTCAGATTTTTTAGCTTTCGTAAAAGTAAAACACAATCATTATGATGGTCAAAAACTACCTGCAGCAGGAGCTAGCATTAGCTGGTCTGTGGCAGCTAACACCTGTGCAGATGTGGAAGGAGCTGAAACATAATCTCTCACTTAGTAATCATAAAACTTTACTGAATCATTAGCATGATTAAATCGATAGTTTAAGTTACCGTGTTCAATTTCTTCCAATCGATCAGCAGCTTCTCTAAGCAATTGAGAAACTGAGTGACGGGCCGCCATTTTACGTGTTGCTCACAGGTTTGCAGCGTCACATCCAAGAGTACTATCTATTGCTCTGTTCTGACTAGCAGTAGATCCGCCCCCTTCATTTGCATTTTATTGCAAGAGACGAGAAAAGAAGGTGTCGAGAAATAATAAAACAGAACATCAATAAAAATAAAATATGAAGAAAAGAAATGCATGCGCAAAGATAAATATTAGATTGTATTATTTATTTGTGCACAAAACCGCAGTTAAATAATAAAAATATATTTATTTTAATCTTAACCTTTGAAAGAACAGGAAAATAATAATGCTTTATTATTTTGTTTGAAACCATAAAACGTTGTGAAATAATAATGTATATTTATTAGCTATCGTGATTTGTTGTTATCTTAATAATTATTGGCAGAATGTGACATTTATTTATTTATTTATAATTTTGACAGTTTTGGTCCTCCATACCACACATGTATCAACCCGAAGGCTTGACTACTGTAACACCTTGCTGGCAGTGTGCCCTAAATCCTCTATGAAAAGCTTCCAGCTCATCCAAAATACAGCATCAAGGATCTTAACAGGCAATATAGAATAAAATGTGTTCTTCTAGCATACAAACCTATAAATAGAATGGCTCCAAGACATGTTAGTGTCATACCAACCAAACCGAGCACTGCGCTTGCATAACGGCAGACGTCTGTTGGTTCCTAAGGTGTCAAAAAGTACAAGGTTCGTAGCATAGATTCAACAAGGTACTGGACGCATTCCTCAGAGAGCTTGGTCCATATTTGATAGCACCATACAGTTTCTGCAGATTTGTTGGCTGCACATCCATGATGC